TCTCTAGGCTTCTTAAATTGCTTAATTCACTCCAAACTTTTCTATATTTTCAACAAATTTTGTTGTTAACATCTCACCCCACTCTCTCATTTGCTCTTCTTTTACAGTGCTTCACCACTCTCTTAACTTCTTCTTTTGCTCCCATATACTCTTCCCTCCTTGCATCATTTCTACTTTGTAATAACCTTCTCATATGACTAACTTTTTCTCCCTTACTACTCTCTTTACATGCATCATTCACCAATCGCTCCTCTTCCCTCCTGCACCACTTTCCGGTACCACTAAACTTCTGCTGAACATCGAACACTACATTTTTTAAACTACCCCATACCTCTTCCGACCCCATTGCCTATGCTCTCATTAGACCCTTCTATACACCAATAGCTGTTTATATCTTACCCTAAACAAATTGCTACCTCTTTTAGTTTAATAAACTTCACCTTCTCTTCCCTGATGCTTCTATTTTCTCCTTGTATCCCATCTATCCGTTTACTCTCAGTGTAGCTACAACTAGAAAGTGATCTGCTATATCTGTGGCCCCCTGATAAAACATGTACAGCCTGAAGCTACTCAACAGTCTTGTATCTACCAATACATAATCCAATCCAAACTACTGGCATTTCGCCACTACATCATTTCGTGTATACTTATTATCCTCTTTTTCTTAAAATATGTATCCTATAACTAAAAAACCCCTTTCTATACAAAGTTCAATCAAGGAGCTCCCATTATCATTTACCATGGCACCCCAAATTACCTACACAACTTCTAAAGTTTCTCCTACTTAGATTCAAGTCCCCTACCACTATTACTATCCACGTGGTTCAAAGGTCCTATACATTCACTATAACATCTCCAAAATCTCTCTCTCTTCACTCTGCATTCCTCTCTTCTCCAGGTGCATACACGCCTTATTATGACCCACTTCTCGCATCCAAACCTTTACTTTATCACATAATTCTTGAATTTACACTTCATTTTCTCTTTTCTCCTTCCTACTGATCATATAAAATTACTGCTACCCCTTTCTTGGCTCTAACTCTTCAGATTACTCCAGATTTAATCCATTTATTTCCCCTCCACTGAAACTCTCCTACCCCCTTCAGCTTTGTTTCGCTTAGGGCCAGGACATCCAACTTCTTTTCATCATAACATCAGCAATCATCTGTTTCTTGTCATCCGCACTACATCCACGCACATTTAAGCAACCCAGTTTTATAAAGTTTTTCTTCTTCTCTTTTTAGTAATTGTATACAGGAGAAGGGGTTACTAGCCATTGCTCCCGGCATTTTAGTCGCCTCATACGACACGCATGGCTTACGGAGGAAAGATTCTTTTCCACTTCCCCATGGACAATAGAAGAAATAAAAAAGAACAAGAGCTATTTAGAAAAAGGAGAAAAACCTAGATGTATGTATATATATATATGCATGTGCGTGTCTGTGAAGTGTGACCAAAGTGTAAGTAGGAGTAGCAAGATATCCCTGTTATCTTAGCGTGTTTATGAGACAGAAAAAGAAACCAGCAATCCTACCATCATGCAAAACAGTTACAGGTTTTTGTTTCACAGTTATCTGGCAGGACGGTAGTACTTCCCTGGGTGTTGCTGTCTACCAACCTACTACCTATATATATATATATATATATATATATATATATATATATATATATATATATATATATATATATATATATATATATGTCGTGCCGAATAGGCAGAACTTGCTATCTTGGCTTAAATAGCAACGCTCATCTGCCATATAGGACAAGCAAAAATTTATGTATGCAATAATTTCGCCAAAATCATTATGAACCTAACGAGAAAAAATATTTTCACTGTGTTTGTTTAGTATTAAATTATTGTAAACAAATCTAAAATATATTTAGTTTGGGTAAGGCTAAAATAATTGTTCTTGTTATAATAAGGTTAGGTAAGTTTTCTAAGATTCTTTTGGTGCAAAATTAAAATTTTTACATTAACATTAATGAAAAAATATATTTTTAAACGTATAAGAGAAATTTTTTAGAAAGGTCTTAATTTTAAATGAGTTCTTGCTAATTGACCAGTTTTACATATTCGGCACGACATATATATATATATATATATATATATAAATATTATATATATATATATATATATATATATATAAGCGACTATTGGCAGAAAGGTGGGCTAGTGCAAAGATGAGTAGTGGGGGGTTGAAGAGGGTTGGAATAGTTTTAAAAATGCAGTATTAGAATGTGGGGCAGAAGTTTGTGGTTATAGGAGGGTGGGGGCAGGAGGAAAGAGGAGTGATTGGTGGAATGATGAAGTAAAGGGTGTGATAAAAGAGAAAAAGGTAGCTTATGAGAAGTTTTTACAAAGCAGAAGTGTTATAAGAAGAGCAGAGTATATGAAGAGTAAAAGAAAGGTAAAGAGAGTGGTGAGAGAGTGCAAAAGGAGAGCAGATGATAGAGTGGCAGAGGCACTGTCAAGAAATTTTAATGAAGAAAAAATTTT